TCAGGGACCCCCCACGACCCCCCCCCACAGCCCCAAGGACCCCCCCCACAACCCCAGAACCCCCCTCCCCCCCAGCCTCAGAGCCCCCTGCCCGCCCCAGTCCCGAGGCCACGGTTGGGGGGGAGATCAGGGCTTTATTTGGGGTTCTGGGGTGGGCTCGGGGCTATTTTTGGGGGGCTCGGGGCTGGATTGCGGGGCGGGAGATTTGGGGGAGGGGTCTCAGGGTTGTGGTACCACCGTGGGCTGGATTTGGGTCCGTGTGGGGGTCTCAGGGTTGTGTCCAGGCCCAGCCCGGGGGTCTCAGGGCTGTATTTGGGGGTCTCAGGTGGTCTCTGGGGCTCTCAGGGGGTCTCAGGGCTGGATTTGGGTCCGTGCAGGGCTCTCAGGGGGTCTCGGGGGCTCTCAGGGGGTCTCAGGACTGTATTTCGGTCAGGGGTGGGGTCTCAGGGCTGGATTTGGATCCGTGCAGGGCTCTCAGGGGCTCTCAGGGGGTCTCGGGGGCTCTCAGGGGGTCTCAGGACTGTATTTCGGTCAGGGGTGGGGTCTCAGGGCTGGATTTGGATCCGTGCAGGGCTCTCAGGGGCTCTCAGGGGGTCTCGGGGGCTCTCAGGGGGTCTCAGGACTGTATTTCGGTCAGGGGTGGGGTCTCAGGGCTGGATTTGGATCCGTGCAGGGCTCTCAGGGGCTCTCAGGGGGTCTCGGGGGCTCTCAGGGGGTCTCAGGGCCATGTCGGTGCCCATGCCGGGGGTCTCAGGGGCTGTCCCCCTGCCCCTCGGCCTTGCCCAGCTGCAGCAGGGATGAGAAGAGCCCCAGGACGTTGTTGCGCAGCTCCCGGGCCAGCGGCTCCAGCTGTTTGTTAGCCCGGTCCAGGTACTGCCTGCGGGACACGGGGGTCAGCGGGGAGCGGGGAGGGGTCTGGGGAATGGGGAGGGGTCTGGGGAATGGGGAGGGGGAACGGGAACTGGGGAGGGGTCCCGGGAACTGGGGAGGGGGGACTGGGGAGGG